AATTTTAAGAATCATTCATAATTGCAGAAAGAGATAAAGTGTAGCAATCAAATACTTACGCCTGGCGCGAGTAGTGGCAGGCCTGTTGTGATTCTCCGTGGGCGAGTACGCCTGTTTAACAAATATATAATTATTAGTCACTATATAAAAGTATGGGATCACTTATAGACCTGCAAATTAATTCACAATGTTTATAACCTAACTGACAACTTATGTGTGTGTGTGTGTGTGTGTGTGTGTGTGTTGTAGTTTGTTTACATTTGTATATGTATGTGTGTTGGGGTTTGTGTGTACAGTATGTGTGTGTAGCAAATTTACAATGCTACAATTAATGACGTCATAAGGAAAGTTTAAAAGAACAAATATAAGCAGGAAGTTTACATCAGGGCGCGTTGACTCACCAAAGAAAACAAAGAATCCAATACAGGTTCAGGTATTGCCATATTATTTGTCAGTAGATTCGCGGGGTAGAGAGAAAATGCAATCGTTATCCTTCGTTCCTGGATTATTCAACCAAAGATCTGGAAAAAAAGAAGAAACAGTGTTACTTAACAAATTTATTTTCTTATTTCTTATTATAGGAGGGCAAGCTAATTATAGGTAAGTTATTCTCGCTTAATCCTCACGTATTTTCCACAGGCGTGTCAGCGTAAAGCCTCTAAGGAACACACAAACACTATAGTCTTTTATCACCAGGAAAGCTTTACACTGCGTCACCACAAGGAAGAGACCCTTAGGCTATCGATATTACTAGGATTACAATCACTTTCTTTCAATTCATCGCCATTGTAATCACTGTTCCCTTAGTGCACATTCACCCACACATGACCTAACTCTAAGGAGACAAATACCGATTGACGTTACTCCTCCGACAGTATTAGTGGATACTGTACCTGCTTTCTGCCAAATATGAGAAGTCACCACGAATTTAAATATCGGGATGTTATCAAATGCATACAGGATAATCAGATAAGCGAACACTGTATCACATATACTAAGAATATATCAGACGCCCGTGTGATATTTGGTGTCCGTGTGCATAAAGCAATCGAGAGCTCACCTTGGCTCAGTGGTACAGGATGTGTATCTTGCAATAGCTGGCAGGTTACTGAATGACACAGGCACCGGCCAAGCCTTATATACAAAAACATCAAGGAATGTTTCCGGATTTTTTTTTCATGTTGCGTTATGCATATGTGTGTGTGTGTGTGTGTGTGTGTGTGTGTGTGTGTATGTATGTATGTATGTATGTGTATGTATGTATGTATGCATGCATGCATGCATGTATGTATGTATGTATGTATGTATGTATGTATGTATGTGTATGTGTCTGTGGTGTCTGTACTTGTGCTACCTACACTATAGTAAACATCGCCCACGCAGCTACTGTATACAGTATATGTTAGGTTTTCCCGACATCTTATGACGCAACTCTCATTTGTTTTTATCCCGGTGTCTGTTAGTCAATTCATTCATCACCAGCTTATTTCACCTTAAGCTAACCACTTTAATGCTAATTTAATCTAACCTAGCCTAACCTGACCACCTGAATGCTAGCCAACTTAACCTAACCACCCGAATGCTAACCTAACTTAACTCCAGCTTATTTCATCTTAAGATTAACCATCCTTACACTAACCTAACCTAACCTCAACTAACCTAACCTTGACTAACACCCAAGTAACGTTAGGGTAATTAATCAACAGGTGAGATAAACTCAGGTGGAGCTAATCTTCAGGTGACTCCTTGATTGATTCACACTCGTATTGATTTGTTATTTTGTTGTTACACCTGGTGAAGACTACAACAAGAAACTGTATGTTTTTCTTATGTTTAACATGAATAAGACCTCCTATATACCAAACATTATCAACAGGGTGTCTCGAAAAGTTTACACAATCTACCTCACATTGTAGATTTTTGTTGAGATCAATTGAATGCTTTATTACATCATTGTGTGTTGGAAGATTACGCAAATTGACAAGTGAGGAGAAATTTTGCGACACCCTATGGGGGGGGGGCCTCTGGCTCTTCAAAAACAAAATCTCTGGTTATTGCACAAAAGAGAGTTGAACGGACAATGACCTACTTGAAAAAAACAGATCATACAAACGAAAAATTTGCGAAATTGAAAATGTTAAAATTTGAAGATATTAACACCTACTGCTGTGCCCTCTTTGTTTACAAATCTATCAATAACTTGCTTGACAATAATTATTTCCAGTTCCGGAATAATCAGAAATACAACTTAAGGCACCCAGAGCTACTAAGACCACCCCCCATGCGCTCCTCTCAGTCCCAGACCTCCATAAAATATCAGGTGTGAAGGTGTGGAACAACTTGCCCCACCCATCCGAGCAAAGACTACGCTCCCTTCCTTTAAATCATCTCTAAAACAATATCTATTGTCTAAGTATTAATACTTCTTGTAACACTTACCATATTTACAGTACCTGCTTTAATTGTACCATCAAAACCGTTTTATCGGAAATTATCATGTACGTAAATATAAATTATCATGTAAATATATAAGAAATTACCATTGCAATAAACACATTTGCCAACTAGACATAATCCTAACAGCTCTGTCCTCTTGTTCAACCTTATTACTGTACAACCCATGTTGTACTGCTCCCCCATTATACTTATGTTTTTCAATTCCACTGTAATTTATGTAAATGCTTATAATATAAATTAAAACAAACTAAACTAATCCAAAAAATTTTAAATAAATAAAATAAACAAATATTGAAGTGATAACCGTGGTAACATTATGAGATGTTCTTATTACCACCATGCTATTGTACTATTCCAGATGTTACTAAATGTAACATAATACTTCCTTGAGATAAATGTATAGTATATATCAGGTGCTTCAAAGAGAGCTCAGGTTCTCAACTGGCTCAGCCATGTTAATATTTTTATTATTATCCACTCTGTATCTGTGTTTTTCTGGCTAAATAAACCGTTTCAATTAAATTCAATTCAACACACACACACGCACGCGGAAAAAACGTCGCCCTTCTAAAATCCGGTTGTACTGTGTGAGTTGGTTTACGTCAGTAGTCGAAGAGGTAAATACCCAATGCGACTTCTTTTCCTATCTCCCCTCAGACTGCCCTCCACATCTCCTATGCTTTTATTTTCTCCTCTTCCACCTTATTCCCTCATCTGTCATACTTCCCAGTGTCTCTCTTCCCTTCCTCACCTTCATAACACCTCCCTTCTCTCCTCTTTTACTCCCTCATCTGTCTTGCTCTTTCATTTTCCCCTCTTCCCTTCTCTATTACCTCAATAACAGCTACGAACACAAGCCATCATTTATAATTTTAACAGTACAGTAGGTGATGGCAGTGGGTGGGTGGCTATTAGGTAAATACCGTGAGTGTGTGAAGCTAGACATACACACTGAGTACACTGGCCCTCTCAGATCTTTCTTATTTCTCCAGTTACCAGTTTGTGGACAGAGTTGTTACACCATCTTGAAACTGATCCCTTCTGCCCACGTGCAGCTTCCAGACACCACAGCTGCATCAGACCTACACGACCGATCACCCTGCTGTAATATCTGTAACTTGTACTGTTTGTTCATCCCATGTTTCCTCCTCCTGTTGTAACGATATATTTTGGTCAACTGACCCGCGCTCCCCAGTGTCGCCGAATGTGTAATCAATGCCATCACTGTTTACTGTTTATTTTCAACCTTTCGCCGCTATTATCTTTCAAATCATTCATTATTATAATATACTTTTAACATATATTCACGCCCACAAATACACTATCCCAGCTCTTGAATATTTGATAATTAACTCTCAGAATACAATTACACCCAGAAACTCTCTCATATACACATACAGTACACCGTCAACCCTTCCCTCATACTTATGAGTTATAAAAATATCCTCATACACTTACACCTACACTCAATAAATGCCATCATACACTCATACCCTCACGCTTACACCTGTCAACAAGAATGATGTTATGGTGGTGTAACCGGTAGGGGGTTACCCCTACACAGGGTTTTTTGTTTGTTTTTTTGCTGCACTACACCTTGACCCGCTGTCAGTAAGGTGGATCCCCAACGAGCTGATTCACCAAAGATCCTTCCTAAAATATTTTCCGTTTTCAAGGGATCTCCCCTGACACCTCAGAGAGACATATGAACACACGCTAAAACTTCTTTTTTTAAGTGAGACGACATTTTTCTTCCCTCTTTCAATTTTCGACAAAGTATAAACATCCTCAGGCCAAGATAAATATTGAGCCCAGCCGGATACAAACACACATACACACTCATACGTGTACGTATGTACGTCAAATGTTTATGTATAGCTTTTTAATTAATTGTTAATTGTTGTTATATGAATATTACTAACACGAACACACGCACGCGCGCGCACACTTCTCCTTTTGCTGCCGAGGTGCACAGACCTTTTCTTTGGCTCTCCCAGCCAGGGGGTAAACATGAGACCCCCCCCCCCAACCACCTCCTACCCCACCAAAAAACCTTCCAGTGCAAGGATGGTTGATCAACTCACCGTGACAATTATAACTCAATCAGAAACAAGCGTTGAACAGTGGAGAAGCCAGCGAGGTGACAGACCATACAGGGACGGCGTCGGCCACAACCTCTCCATAGAGAAGACCCTCACCAACCCCAGTGAGACTGACTGTACCATCTGCACTGAGGCCGACTATCACCTAGCTGTACCAGGGCTAAGACCACCACCTCTCCAACCACGGTGACAACTATCAGCCCTTAGTAGGTGTACCACGTGATTTTTCCTCTTATTTTATAAAAAGTTTGGGCTCAATAACTCACTCCCGATATCACCGTGTGTACGCGAGATGATTTATGTCCATTGTGTTTTGTCAGTTCTCACACACACACACACACACACAGGAGGCACGTTACTTCCCCATCGCCACGCGCTTCAACAACCAAGAACTTAAGCACCTATCATTACACTGCCTCTTTACACGTAGTCTTCCACCTCCTCTGTTGACTCGCCACCCCGTGAATGTTATCTTCTGAATGAGGGAAGGAAATTGATAGCTTGTTTAATATTTAATTATCTTCATCGTTGATGTTCTTCTCTGAATTAAACATGTCACTGTTGATGTTATTTTAAAACATCTGAAAAGTGTTTCATATAAGAACATAAGGAGTCTGCAATAGGCCGGTTGGCCTGTGCATGGCAGCTCCTGTCGAGAGTTACTACCACTCTCTATCATCCATGAATCTATCTAGCCTCCTTTTAAAATTCTCCAGCGTTCCAGCACTTACTACAAAGTTGCTAGGCTTGTTCCACTCGTCCACCACCCTATCGAGATAATCTTTGACTGGTCTAGTGTTATTGTTCATTTTACTCTCAACACTTGTGTAATAGTCAAGACAAAATTGAGCACTTGAAAATTTATTCACCTATTAACTTAATTCACCTGATAATTAAAAACCTTAACGCTACCTGGGGGTTAGGTTAAGTGAGATTAGGGTAGGGTAGGTTATGTTAGTGTG